CCACACCTATTTTACGTTTTGGAACACATCCGCAATATGATCGTCTTGGTCATATGCATCATTATGCAATTGCTGAAATTGAATTTGAATACTCAGCTGGACGAATTAAAGCGGGTTTCCCTGATGACAGTTTCATTATCAATATTGATGAAAAAGCGGTTCGACAACAACGCGATTTAGTTGCTGAAAAGAAACATATTGATGAATTAATTCATTCAGTTAAATCCATGCAACGGATTACCAAGCTACCAAAAAGCAAACGCCCTGCTTTTGATGACATCAGTGAAAACTCAATTGTTTATGCCGATCCAATGGCTTGGGTTGAGCAACTGGTTCCTGAAAATAAAATCGAAGGTCTCGGCTGGAAAGTTGAACATACCCTAGATAGTCAGTTCAATTTAAGTGCAACACAAAACCTGCAACTCTCATTGAACGAATCTGAAAAAAAACAAGACTGGTTTAATGTCGGTGCGACGATTCAGGATATGAATGGCAACACTTATAACCTGATTGATCTTCTTGGCTATGCGATACAGCATAATCCACATCTTTTAGAAGATGACTATATTGAAAAAATGGACAGTGACAGCTTCTTAATCGTTCATTTAAGAGAAGCTCAAACTCAACTGGCACTTAGAAATCAAGAAATTAAGCCCATCCTAATCTATTTAAAAGAAATTTTAAGACATCCAGAATCTGCAACATTAGATCAATACGATGCCGCTCAATTCTTAGATTTACAACATCATTTGGGCATGCCTTGGCGGACCAACGAACGCCTGAAAATATTTGCTGAAAAGCTTCAAAATAGTTATCAAGATCAAATCTGTACACCACAAGGTTTCCAAGGCGAACTACGCCCATATCAACAACAAGGTTTAGCATGGCTACAGTTTTTACGCGAAACTGAACATGGCGGTATCCTTGCCGATGATATGGGACTCGGTAAAACAGCACAAACACTTGCACATATTCTATTAGAAAAGCAGGCAGGCCGATTAAATCAACGCCCTGCCTTGATTATTGCACCAACATCTTTAATGCATAACTGGCGTAAAGAAGCTGAGAAATTCACCCCTGAATTAAAAGTTTTGGTCTTACAAGGGCATGATCGTGTTGAACATTTTCAAGAGATTAAAAATGTAGATATTGTGCTCAGCACCTACCCGCTTTTGGGCCGTGATGAAGAATTTTTACTGCCCTATCAATATCATTTATTGATTTTAGATGAAGCGCAAAACATTAAAAACCCTCGGGCCAAAGCCTCTCAAGTGGTACGACAAATCAAAGCAAAACATCGTCTATGCTTAACTGGCACACCGATGGAAAACCATTTGGGCGAATTATGGTCATTGTTCCATTTCTTGATGCCTGGTTTTTTATATAGTCAGGAATTGTTTAATAAAAAATATCGTAATCCTATCGAGAAACATGCAGATCTTCAGGTTAAAACCAAGCTCATTTCTCGTATTAAACCGTTTATGTTGCGTCGTTTAAAAACAGAGGTGGCGAAAGAGCTTCCTGAAAAAACCACGATTGAAGTCAATATTGATATGAATGAACAGCAATCTAAGCTCTACGAAGCTGTTCGTGCAACAATGCAAAAGAATATTCGTGAGTTGATTGCAGCTAAAGGCTTCCATCGTAGTCAGATTCAAATTTTAAGTGCATTGCTTAAGCTTCGACAAGTTTGCTGCCATCCAAGCCTTTTACAGCTTGATCAAGTCAAGAATCAAAATGTTGAATCAGCAAAATTAGATCATTTATTGGAAATGGTTCAAGATATGGTTGAGGAAGGACGTAAGATTTTAATCTTCTCTCAATTCACCACGATGCTACAACTCATTGAAGAGCATTTAAAAACCTTAAATATTCGAAATGTAAAACTTACTGGACAAACCAAGAAACGTGATGAAGTGATCACGGCATTCCAAGCAGGCGATATTCCTGTTTTCCTCATCAGTTTAAAGGCAGGCGGTGTTGGGCTTAATCTCACTGCTGCTGATACAGTGATTCATTATGATCCTTGGTGGAACCCAGCGGCTGAAGATCAAGCGTCTGATCGTGCATGGCGTATTGGTCAAGATAAACCAGTCTTTGTTTATAAATTGATTACCAACCAAAGTATTGAAGAAAAGATTTTAGCCTTACAGAAAAATAAAGCTGATCTTGCCAAATCTATTCTAAGTATTGATCATGAAAATGAAGTGAAATTGTCTGAAGATGATGTCATGAGTTTATTGGATTGATAATCACCATCTATAATGTAGATAGTGAATTTTACGCATAGAGCTTAAATCAAAAAAGTGTTTGATAGTGCTTTTTTGATTAGCATTGTTCGTCAGCTTTTTGATGATAAGGTACAAGCTCTTGCCGTTCTTCTAAATCAGCGACTAGTTTTAGATTTTTAACTAATCCAATTTTACTTAATATTATTAATACCCACCAACCAGGATCAGATTGACCTTTTTCCAATCCTAGTTTTGCTGAACCAGGGAATGCATGGTGATTATTATGCCAACACTCTCCCATAGTGATTAAGCCACAAAATTTAATGTTATAGCCTTGTACGCCTGCACCGTTAACATGCCACGAACGATGGCCTGAATTATGAGCAAAATACCCAATCAGCCAATGCCCTGTGACGGAAATTGCAACACGCAAACAAGTTCCCCAAATAACCCATTCTACCCCGCCTATAAGATATAAAATAAGTGCCAAAGGCAATTGCTGTAACATCCACGTTTTTTCCATAAAACGATAAAATTGAGTATCGAGAATAGATTCTTCTTTAAATACAGGGGGATGTTTTAAAACGATATCGCAATGTATTTGCCAAAAACCATCTTTTAGAAAAGAGCTTTGATGAGAAAAATATGGATGACACTGAGGTTGGCGCTGTGCCCAATCACGAGTATCATGTGTCCTCACCATACCAAAAGGACCAGCTAATCCGACAATGACACCAAAATGAACAAATAAATATTCCAGCCATTTAGGACATTCATAGCTTTGATGAATCAAGCGACGATGCATTCCTAATGAATGCCCAAGGCATAGTGTAATCGCAGAACTAATTAAAAATACTAGAAAGTTTTCAATGGATGATAAAAATAAAACACCATAAACTCCAAAAAGATACATCATCATTACCCAAATAGACTTTGAAGGTGACCAAATAACTTTTGCTTCAAATGCATTGGTTTCAGAATTTTCATAGATTGTCGGCACAGCTGTTTTCTTATACATAATGTTTCTACTTTTTTATTTTAATGATTTTAACTGAAATCCACCGCCTAAAATATAGCAAAGCTGACCATTGATTTACTTATTTATATTGATTGTCTATTTAAAATTTGATGAATGTATCTAAACTTTTCTTCCCGATAAACACCGCGCATAAAAAAACACCCCGCTCTCGTTAGAGATCGGGGTGTTTTAGATTTAAAAGCTGGCGATGACTTACTCTCACATGGGTAACCCCACACTACCATCAGCGCTAAGAGGTTTCACTTCTGAGTTCGGGAAGGGATCAGGTGGTTCACTCTT